GACATGTTGACTAAACAGTCAGGTTATAGACCTGAATGTTCGTGCATGGAATCCATAACCCCCTAAGTTAAAATGCTAATCAGAGGGTGGGAATCCAATCAGTAGCAACTGTTGCCGATTTATTCTCATCTTTACCAAATAGTAAAAATGACTTTCATAGTTATAATACCCACAGCTAGAGATGTGGTATTTGTTTAGCAGCATGAATGTATCTTGAACATTTATATTAGTGATATCATTGCAGTAACATTATGTTGACAATAAAAATCAAGAATTATTTCACAAGTAGTAAAGCTTCATTTTTTTTCAATTTCTTTATCTTTGTTTATAGTTAAGTCATTGTACTAGATTAAAAGTTAAACCAACTCATTTTGAAACAGATTCTTGTAAAAAAGTGATGTCAAATCAACAATGTTCTATTTTCAGAATTTCAGATCATTAAGTACTGTGTTTTTTCCCCAGTTCTCCCTTCCAAAACCTCAAGGTGGCAAGCATGCAAACAACCCCCTCTTATGTGCTGATCAACCAGTGCCCCAGAACAGACCTTCCAAGCTTGGGACCCAAAAGACTGATGCACTGCACCCAGATTATGAAGCTAATCTCTCTCCTTTTGCTATGAATGATATTTATAGTCGAGCTGCCAACCATGGTATACGCCAACAACCAAGAGTAATCTCTCAACGCAGAAATCCAAATCAGTGTAAAAGAAATACCGGAAAAAAGAAGAAGAAACAATAAATTTGATGTGACTTATTAAATACTTTAGTGGACTTGTCAGTGTGATGATGTTTATTGTGATCATCTGAGAAATGCATCATAAGCGATTAGAGTCGAATCCAATTATTAAAAACTATTCACACAAACGACATTAACATTTTTCTCTCAGACAGAGAGAACGAATTAGTTGACATTTACCAGTAGCTCCAAAATTTAAAAATCAATTCTTATATGAAACACCTTGCAGTTTATAAGTGTGCTTCATGTTATTTATATGCACAATAATTTTCAAACATTATATTTTTTACCTTGCTATACATCACAGTATTTTAAACTCAAATCTCCATTTTAAAGTGACTGGCATACAGAATGTAGAGTGCTTTCGTTACAGTCTTTCAACATGTTGATAAGCTTGGGGTTGCATATCAAATTTTCTTTATCACATTATAATGAACTTGTAAGAACAAAAAAGTTCATTATTATTCGTTTGAAACTATTGACTTAGTATTTTGACTTCACAAACATTTAATTTTAACCAATGCTGCATTCAACATACCACATGACACAAAAATTGATGTTTATCTGTTTTTTATATTTACTTTTAAATTAATAAATTGAGTAATATATAGTACTAAAATTTGATTATAATCTACA